CATTACCAAATGTAATACAGGAAGTTCGTAGCATTCCCCAATGTACTACACGGGGTTCGTACCATTACCCAATGTACTACACGTAGTTTGTATCATTCTCCAATGAACTACACGGAGTTCGTAGCATTACCCAATGTAATACACGGGGTTCGTACATTACCCAATGTTATACACTGGGTTCATAGCATTCCCCAATGTAATACACGGGTTTCATAGCATTCCCCAATGTACTACACGGGTTCGTACCATTACCCAATGTACTACACGTAGTTTGTATCATTCCCCAATGTAATACACGGGTTTCGTAGCATTCCCCAATGTAATACACGGATTTCATAGCACTCCCCAATGTACTACACGGGGTTCATAGTATTCCCAGATGTACTACACGGGTTTCATAGTATTCCCCCATGTAATACACGGGGTTCGTACCAATACCCAATGTACTACACGTAGTTCGTACCATTGCCCAATGTACTACACGGGGTTCGTTACATTCCCCAATGTACTACACTGGGTTCGTACTATTACCCAATGTACTATACGGGGTTCGTAGCATTCTGCAATGAACTACACGGGGTTCGTACCATTACCCAATGTACTACACGTAGTTCGTAGCATTACCCAATGTACAACACGGGGTTCGTAGCATTCCCCAATGTACTACAAGGGGTTCGTAGCATTCCCTAATGTACTATACGGGGTTCGTAGCATTCTCCAATGTACTACACGGGGTTCGTAGCATTCCCCAATGTAATACACGGGGTTCGTAGTATTCTCATATGTACTACACGGGGTTCATAGCATTCCCCAATGTACTACAGGGGTTTCATAGCATTCCCCAATGTAATACACGGGTTTAATAGCATTCCCCAATGTACTACACGGGGCTCATAGCATTCCCCAATGTACTAAACGGGTTTCCTAGCATTCCCCAATGTACTATACGGGGCTCGTAGCATTCACCAAGGCACTACATGGGTTGCATAGCATCCCCAAATGTACTACAGGGGTTTCATAGCATCCCCCAATGTAATACACAGGGTTCGTAGCATTCTCCATTGTACTACACGGGGTTCGTAGCATTCCCCAATGTACTACACGGGGCTCGTAGCATTCACCAATGCACTACATGGGTTTCATAGCATTCCCAAATGTACTACACGGGATTCGTAGCATTCCCAATTGTACTACATGGTTTTTATTGCATTCCCCAATGTACAACACGAGTTTCATAGCACTCCCCAATGTACTACACGGGGTTCATAGCATTCCCCAATGTACTAAACGGGTTTCCTAGCATTCCCCAATGTACTACACGGGGTGCATAGCATTCACCAATGTACTACGTTGTTCGTAGCATTACCAAATGTAATACAGGAAGTTCGTAGCATTCCCCAATGTACTACACGGGGTTCGTACCATTACCCAATGTACTACACGTAGTTTGTATCATTCCCCAATGTAATACACGGGTTTCGTAGCATTCCCCAATGTAATACACGGGTTTCATAGCACTCCCCAATGTACTACACGGGGTTCATAGTATTCCCAGATGTACTACACGGGTTTCATAGTGTTCCCCCATGTAATACACGGGGTTCGTACCAATACCCAATGTACTACACGTAGTTTGTATCATTCCCCAATGTAATACACGGGGTTCATAGCATTCCCCAATGTACTAAACGGGTTTCCTAGCATTCCCCAATGTACTACACGGGGTTCGTAACATTCCCCAATGTACTACACGGGGTTCGTTACATTCAGTGTACTACACAAAGGTAAGAAGCATACCCCAATGTACTACACGTAGTTCGTAGCATTACCCAATGTACTACACGGGGTTCGTAGCATTCCCCAATGTACTACAAGGGGTTCGTAGCATTCCCCAATGTAATACACGGGGTTCGTAGTATTCTCATATGTACTACACGGGGTTCGTAGCATTCCCCAATGTACAACAGGGGTTTCATAGCATTCCCCAATGTAATACACGGGTTTAATAGCATTCCCCAATGTACTACGCGGGTTCATAGCATTCCCAGATGTACTACACGGGGTTCATAGCATTCCTCTATGTAATACACGGGTTTAATAGCATTCCCCAATGTACTACACGGGTTCATAGCATTCCCCAATGTACTACACGGGGTTCGTAACATTCCCCAATGCACTACATGGGTTTCATAGCATTCCCAAATGTACTACACGGGGTTCCTAGCATTCCCAAATGTACTACATGGTTTTTATTGCATTCCCCAATGTACAACACGAGTTTCATAGCACTCCCCAATGTACTACACGGGGTTCATAGCATTCCCCAATGTACTACACGGGTTTCATAGCATTCCCCAATGTACTACACGGGGTGCATAGCATTCACCAATGTACTACGTTGTTCGTAGCATTACCCAATGTACTACACGGGGTGCATAGCATTCCCCAATGTAATACACGGGGTTCATAGCATTCCCCAATGTACTACACGGGTTTCATAGCATTCCCCAATGTACTACACGGGGTTCGTAGCATTACCCAATGTACTACACGGGGTGCATAGCATTCCCCAATGTAATACACGGGGTTCATAGCATTCCCAAATGTACTAAACGGGTTTCATAGCATTCCCCAATGTTCTACACGTAGTTCGTAGCATTCCCCAATGTACTGCACGAGGTTCGTAGCATTCCTACTTTATATTTTATTTTGTATATTGATACAGAACGCAATAATTAATGGAGTATTTTCTTTAATTTGTATAATTTTGCAATGCTTAAGTGAATCATCTTTTAAGGAAATAAATTACATACATTGCGGATATATCTTAGTGGGTAAGACTTATCACTAATTTGGGAAATGAACGGCAGATATGGCTGTCAAGTATTTATTCGCCTCAGTCAATATCACTCTTTCAGGTTCATATCACGTCATATTCACCAGCACAAAAGTCCATAATTGTATATTATTATATGTATGAACATTTCCAGTTCTCGCAATCACATTGGTCGGATCCTATACATGTGACCAGCCCTCAAAAACGCAGGTAGACTGGTTATCCGGTGAATATCGATTTCTTAATATAGCCTGTATGGAAATTCCCCGGAACCTGTCGTAGCGCATGCGCAGTTAGACTGGAACGCGATCTGTCAGACGACATTAGAAAATGGCTGCTGGCGAACGTTTCTCTTCCGTTAGGAAAATTACCAAAACTATTCGTAAAAAAGGCCATTGAACACGCAGTGCATGTCCTCCATGCTTATCTTAAGATAAAGAATCCAGACGATGCCTTCGAAAGCTACAATGATGAACTGTTGTATTCAAACCTGGCTAAATTTTACACGGAGGCTCGCGTACAAAAATCACAACCTTTAGTTTAGTTTTGTTTTATTTTATTGTTGAAGCATATAATAAAACAGTTATGGGCTTTTGTGCTGGTAAATATGATGTGATATGAACCTGAAAGAGTGATATTACCCTCGGCTTCGCCTCAGTCAATATCACTCTTTCAGGTTCATATCACGTCATATTCACCAGCACAAAAGTCCATAATTGTATAATAATGATGGTGTTCAGTGCCAGATAAACCATATCTTGTCACTAAGTTCCTCGAAGACATAGTTTCAACGGTAATAAAAAAAACTTAACAATGCCACTGGAACAGAGTAAAAATCTAGGTCATACAGTAGGGTTTGTTTGTTTGTGGTTTACGTCCTATTAACAGCTATGGTCATGTAAGTACGTGCCAGGTTTTGACGGTGGAGGAAAGCCGGAGTAACCGGAGAAAAACCACCGACTTAGGCCAGTACCTGGCGAGTCCCCCAAGTAGGTCCCGAACCCACAACCCGGCGGTGGAGGGCTAGTGGTAGCAGAATGTCAAACGCCTGAACCACTTTAATTGGCCCCTGTCAGATAGTAGGGAAGTATGATACCGTATACAAAAGAAAAAAAAGGAAATGCCAAAGTGTCAGAAGCGTTATCCGAAAACAAAAACGATCAAACTATGGGCAAAATATGAACAAAGACACAAAGACACACATAAAGACAATGAATAGTATAAAATGTGACTACGTAGTATAAAAAAAGGTGGAAATTTTGTGGTGTGGAAATGCTCGCGTATTGGAAAAAGATCAATACGCGATTATTTATTAATAGATGAAAGATATTATATAAATAAAATATGTAAATATTTACGTAACCTTAAGTTAAAACTCGTGTATACTTCAGTGATGGCTAATATCAACAACTATGAAGCTTATTGGTGCAAAATAAAAGTGTGCTTCTGTAGGGTATAAGACCTAGTATAATAGAGATATTTATGTGTCTCTCCATGTGTTTGATCTTTATAAGTGTGAGTTTAAAAAAAATGTATATTAGGAGGATGTAATTATATTTCAGTAACTGTCATAATAATCATCCATAATTATAATAAATATGGGCAATGTTATTAAGACGTATGTATAGGTGTTTAACATGATTTAAGAGCCATAAAAGCAAATATTTAAAAATAAATCACCTATCTAACACTGCTAGCATTGTATATGAGATTATATCGTCCTCGCTTCATCTTTGCGCTCTAGTGGACAAGATACATACATTTCTCGCTATTTTACATATCTCTGCCATTCGCTCAAACGGTGTTGTGTGTCAGGCTTTCAGCAACTTTCATTTCACAATCCTCCTGGATATGAGTTGAGACTCTAAGCGATGGATGTGGACGAAGGTAAGGGTCAGTTCTACTAAAATATTCTCCAGCAGTACATATAATCTTATGCTTAAGATAACAGTGAAGCACTAGTCGGGGTTACAAACAATACTACTGTACCTGCCATCCAAAGTGTAGTTTTTTTCGTCTGATAAACTTGATTTATGATAGATTTAACCCGTTAAACATAAATTTGTCGGCATGATTTTCTAGTTTCTTGGTGAATTCAAAATTTAATAATATTATTATTTTGGTTTTGTCATGATTTTATCGAGTTTTGGTGTAATGAATACGGTGTCCAAGAAAAACAAATTGACCATAGGAATCAAAAGTACGGTATTCTGATTTGAAGCCTGGTTGATGACTAAAAAGCCTTGCTGTATAGGGACTGTAATGATAAAATAAGTAATGTAAGATATCATGAAACGAAAAGTCGTATATGCCTTAAATACAAACACATTTGTTTACAACAAACAGTTGAGTAGACCATTTATTGCATATAATTTGGATTCTTTTCCATTATCAGTATTACGAAGGGAAATAAACTCACATTAATATTTGTATAAAGGTCTATGCATGCATTAAACAGGTATATGGCGTATCAAGTTTTATGAGGCAACAGAGTTTTGTATTTTTATTGTAACAAAGGCTGCATTGTGTGTAGAGATTTATCGTCCTCGCCGCATCTTAACGCTCTAGTAAAGTTGTCATTGCTGATTTACATATTCTTTCACTGGCTTAAACCGACTACTGTACCCGAACTGCGACTATGTATATACGTAGTTACCTTCTTATCATTACCATATAATGAGCGTCAGACTGGGTAGATGATGTGGGCAAAGGTAAATCCTATAGCTTACCCTTTTTAACATTTTATTGAAATGTTATAAGAAAAGCATGAACTATGTTTTGATAAAACATATATTTACCGAGTTGAACGTAACAGCGACACGTGTTCACGTTTGGGCTTTTTGTGTTCACCAATGTATATCATACGCGTTTTTATGTTATACATTTCGTAAAATAACGACGCAATATTATGATTAAATTGAAGGCAGGATTAATATCTGTTGCGGAAATGTTCCTAGCACCTGTAATGATTTGGCTACTTTTTAATGAAAGCTACTTTAGTATGTTGTATCCAATGTGTATGCCAGTATGTCAGTATGTGTATTGTTCAGCCACATCAACTGTTAATGCTAGGTGCCGCATACCTATTCCTAAGCAAGTGTAGGCCTAGTTATTATAAATCATGGTATGAATTTTGTTTGAGAATAAATGTCTTCCTTAAACATTAAAAGAAAAACAATTTTTTCTATTTTGGTATCCATTGCTCTGATAAAAAAAAAATCAAACAACCGAAATAACGACTATGCGATTTTGGATGGTTTTGTAAAAAATAATGACAACATAATTGGGAATCATACAAGGATAGTATCAGCATCATTGTATAACAGCTTCTAGACATTTCAACTTTGAAAAAAGTGTTGTGAACAGCTATTTATATCCTAGCTTTTACAGTAGATTGCTAATACTCAATAAAACAGTTAGTAAGGTATTCGCTATAAAGGTTATAATGTCGCTAGTCGCAGCTATAAGCGCTGCTACGGAACACGTCATTAGCATTAACGATTTCGCACCGTCCTAATTGTGTATGCATTTCAATTTCATATTTAAGATATGGTCTTTAATATTCATGGCAGAATATCAAATATTATGATAATTTGCCACATCAAAGCCCTGTTGCCGTTGCAGGCCCATACGTAATTTGTAGGTAGATTATACCCTAAACTATTGCACAAAACATCAAAAAGACAAATTTAAGTTTTGTATACGATATATAAAACACAAATATATTTGCGTCAGACATAACGTATATTTAAAGACGTTTATCAAGCTTATATACGTGTTTCTGAAAACAACTTTTACCAGGATGTAACAGGTATGTATGTATACGTATATCACTTCATGGTTTCACTGATTGATATACAATCATTTGCTGTCAGAGTTTGATTCTAGTTGTACATCTAATTAAGCATGTTTTTATAAAACGCAACTACACGTTGTGAGTTGCCCCTTCACGGGATTGTAAACGCAATGTCTTGCTGTCCTTTCAACAGCGATATTTCCCGTTCAGTGGTTGATGTAGACATTGGCAGACCACTGGTTCATCAGCCATATCCATAATTTTGCCGCCACACTTTCGTAAACCCGCTCCCGGAGTTCTCGTTCTGCTCCCCTTACATATTCACTCATTCTACTTTTGATACATGTATAACAATTCACTATATTCCGCATTTTACGTGNGGGTAAGATAAATACCACGTAAATCTACAAACAGGCACACATGAAGAGATACAGTGAATGTAAATGATTGTTAGAAAGTTGATTATGATTTCCACAGTTATAATATGTAATGAATTCGTGTCTAGAGATAAAACTTGCACATGTGTGACATGCAGATAACGCTATTTCATATTTATCACGGTTATTTTGAAATCTTGATACTGTTGCATCTGTATCTGTGCACAGTAGCAATATATATATATATATATATATATATATATATATATAGTATAGAACACAAATGTCACTCAACAAGTTGTTAGTATAATATGTACGAGTATAAGTATGAGGGTGGTATCGTCACCTTAATTGGTGCTTATAGCTGATGCTGAATAATTGTACGTTGAATAATTCAATGTTTCAACTGAACTAGATGATACTGAGTTTTTAGCTCACCTGGCACGAAGTGCCAAGTGAGCTTATGCCGTGGTGCGGCGTACGGCGTCCGTCGTCCGGCGTCAACATTTTACTTTAAACAACTTCTTCTATATATTCAAGGTCACAAGGAGCAAATATGTTCAAACTATTTAAAGAACTTGTTATGAATAACCAAAAGGCTCAGGATGTTGATATTTAGTCAGTAGCATGCTGGGATCAAGGCCAACTATGTTTGTTAAAGTGAATGACTTTGAGTTATATTCAAGGTCACAGGGGTCAAATTTGTTTAAATCTTTAAACGACCATTTCTGAATAACCATGGGTCCCAGGATGTTGATACTTTGCAAGTTGCAACCTGAGATGAAAGGCTATACAATTTGTTCAACATAATGACTTTGTTTGACTTTCAATATTTGGGGTGAAATATTAAAAAAAAAATAACAGGTTCTTTTGAATGAATTTTAATCATAAATACTGATATTTTGCCTGTAGCTTTATTTCAGATCACTTTTAAGGTTACAAGTGTGAGCTTTATACCAGGTGAGCGGTGCAGGCCCATTGGGCCTCTTGTTTTGTAAATTATTTGATTATCCTATCACGATATTAAAAGATAAAATATTGTTTTGATATTTCACTGGAAAGGACCAATAGAATTAACGCAATATGAAAAAAGTGCATTCACAAGCTGTCCTTTGTTTTTATATTCGATTAAATAAAATAAATGTTATGCCCCACCCCCTTTCACTTAAAATGAAATCCATCATTCGCGATTAATTGTACAAAAATATAGAGATAGATACACCAACGTAACGTTGGTGTTTTTTTTCTTCTTTTCTGCAGGATTGAACTGTAAGTTGTGGAACTAGTGGGTTGTGACACAATTTCTAAAAATACTATGGAACTTCAAACGTTGGTGTCTAATAGGACTGGTTATGGCACCAAATCAGAGTCAACAGAACTTTATCTGGACGGGAAACCACCTATTACACACTGTAATGGTAAACCCGCGCTACCTCCCGCGGGACCCGAAAGCAAGGATGGTTGTTTAGCACTCTCTGAATCATATACCAAAGACCAGATATCGTGAGTATAAAATTCATCAGACACAAAAAACCCTGAAACAGCTAAGGAATTTTTGAGGAAAGTACTGACCTACTGGCAAACTAACTTTTCCAGCTATGCGGTATAACCCGGGGACCCGCTCACTAGTTCAGCAACGTCGAGCGTGGTCGGTAGCTGGATGGGTGACCGCCTGCACGTTACAAAACGTCACCATGATTTCCAGAAAAAGAATACAGTCATCTCCTCGTATATTTCTGGGCAAGAAATACATCAGACAATCATAGAATCAACTAACCATACTTTCTTATATAGTTATTATACTGTGAGTGTAAAAGGTATTCCTTTGTTTTATTAGCTCACCTGGCCCGAAGTTTGTTCAAATACATGACCCTGACTTATATTCTAGGTCACAGGGGTCAAGTATGTTTAAAACCTTTCAACAACTTCTTCTGAATAACCAAGAGGCATAGGGTGATATTTGGCCAGTAACATGCTTGGATGAAGGGCTACACAGTTTGTTCAAACAAATGACCTTGATTTATATTCTAGATCACAGGGGTCAAATATGTTTAAAACCTTCACACAACTTCTTCTGAACAACCAAGAGGCCTAGTGTGCTTACATTTGGCCAGTAACATGCTGGGATGAAGGGCTACCAAGTTTATTCAAATAAATGACCTTGACCTATATTCGAGGTTACAGGGGTCAAATATGTTTAAAACATGTAAACAATTTCTTCTGAATAACCAAGAGGCATTGGGTGATGATATTTTGCCAGTAACATGCAGGGATGAAGGGTTACCAAGTTTGTTCAAATGAATTACCTTGATAAATATTCAAGGTCACAATGGTGAAATATGTTTAAAACCTTAAAACAACTCCTTTTGTAAAACCTAAAGGTCCAGGGTGATGATATTTGGTCAGTAGCATACAGGGATGAAGGACTACCAAGTTGTTCAAACAAATGACCTTCACTCATATTCAAAGGGGTCAATTGTCTTAAAAACCTTTAAACGACTTCTTCTGTATAACCAAAAGGTCCATGCAGGGTGATGATATTTGGCCAGAAGGATGTTGGCATGAAGGGCTACGAAGTTTGTTTAAATGAATTACAGTGCCCATATTCAAGATCACAAGGGTCAAATATGTTGAAATCTTTAAACCACTTCTTCAGAATAACTAAAGCATACAGGGTGATTGTTTTTTGCTGTGAATGACCTTGGTACACTTTCATGGTCACATCTGGTCCATAGTGGATACATCTTGAAAAATTGTCTTCTCAATAAACAAAAGGTATAAGGTGGTGATATTTGGCAAGTGGCATTCTAGGAGGAAGGACTATGAAGTTTGTCCATGTTTGACTTTCAAGGTCACAGGGGTCAAATGTGTTTTAATTGTTTAACAGGTTCTTCTGGATGACTTTAAGTTAAGTTACTGATATTTTGCCTGTAGCTTTATTTTATTCCACTTTTAAGGTTACAATTGTGAGATTAATACCAGGTAAGCGATGCAGGCCCATTGGACCTCTTGTTTTTGTTGGAATTATATATTTTTCATTCATTAAGGCAACTAAATTATGAGAACGCCTGTAATACCAGGATTGAAGCTAATGTTTTCTTCAATAGAGTATCATTTTAAAGTAATTTTGAAGTCTTTGCGCATCACAACAATGCATTGATACGTTTCCGAATTATACGTACCAGTTTAATTTCTATGTCCTCGTAACATCACTATCGTTAGGCGCTGTTTGATTTCATTACACATTGATGGAGTAGATATAAAGAGTCATATGAAATATATATACGTTATGTACGCATACGTAAGATTATGAACCAACACAATAAAATAACACAAAGATTTACAAGTACTGTACACAGGGAATTTTCGCGACGGTTAAATTTTCGCACTTTTCGCCCGCTGAAATATAAAGTGAATTAATCACTACAGCGAACATTAGTTAACAACATAATATGCAAAGTAATTAAATGTGAGGGCGAAAATAAAAATAGGCAAATATGCATCATTCCCCGACAGTTTGACAGGGGGAAATTTCATGTTATACAGTATGCTAGTAGTTCATTCGCTGAACCACAACATACGTTCGGAACACTTAAGACATGGATTTTCGTTCGTTTGACCTTAAGTACCATTGTTGAGTCTTAATTGAACGAATCGACAAACCTTCCTTTGCATTTGTAATGATTATTTTCATAACATTTTTTTTGCAGAGACTTTGTGGGGTTTATGCATTTTCTAAGAGGATTTGTAGGCTCTGGTTTCCTTGTCATGCCATACGCAGTAAAGCTTGTTGGACTATGGGTATGTTTTTTACAGTTACCTTCGAATTTTATGCAGATATCGTATACAACAGGTTCTTGTATTTAAAGACGGAAAGTATTTATCAATAGCAAAAATTCATGTAAAAATATGAAAAAAATCATATATAACACCAGTAGGCGGTAGAGCTCGTGATATAATCCGTTCAATCCACATAGCTTTCGGCTTGGTATTTACATATGAAATACAAATTTGACATCTGTTGCCAAATGACCAATTCAATGAAAGGTTGAAGTTTATTAGTTTTACGTGTGTGTATATATATAGATGATACCTGATATCTTTGTTACTTACCGAAATACCCATATGTTGTCAAATTATCAGGTACAGACTGTTAACCTACAATATATTACAAATACGCATTTGATAGTTCTTCCAATATAACATACTTACATATGTACTACACACCTTTAGCAACAAACAGCATATCCTTTTCAACGGATTTGTCTGTAAAGCAACTATCCTCACTTGGTTCCAGTTTATAACAAAGCAGAACTAGTAGCCGTGAATGACTCCGTCATTAAAACAATATTTAACGAATACCGTTTATGGTAAAAACGTTTAAAAAAATCTATGGAGAAGTGAAACCTAAACAAGTGAGTGTTTCATACTAGCTCATCACGTCAACTGGTGCACCAGTTCTGATCGTTACCAAGAAGTACATAAGCATAATGAAACACTGTTTATATAATTAAGAACATTAAAACACATACAGGCTGAATGTAAATTTCATAAAGCGTATTGTAAAATGCAAAGCTTCTTCAAATAACTTGACTCAAAATGAGAGATCATTACACAATGCAAATGTTGCCTCTGGAGTTTCTCTAGGTACCGGTAGACATTTTTGGTGTACATAGGGATTGAAAGGCATGTGTTTATTTTCATACCGGCATGAAAATCTTATAAACGCCGTTCAATTCATCTTTTTTTGTTTTAGTATAGAATAATTGTTTAATTCTTTTTACTTGTTCTTCAATAATCATGCATTTATTTACTGCGTTTTGTATATATGCGTCGTCCTTTAAACGAAATTGGCAAAACAGACCGATGTAAATAGAATTGACGCCATTAATTAACAGTAGTCATTTGAGCGTTTGACGCAAGGGGCATTCTCACTGTTATCCGAAGCGAAGCGACAGGACTCTCATTGAACAAGGTTAATCGATGACATCCTAAGTAAACCACATGTTACGTCACGATAGTTTTTGCTTTCATTCTCATATGAAATGCCTTTCTGCTGGTTATGTTCATAAAGTGGGTTGCAGCACAAATGTAAATATATCTGCATGAATGTGGTACGTACAGATTGGCTTAGGACATAGGCATTTTGGGTATTTGGCATGGTCCTAGCTCCGCCCCCTGCAATATTATCATCTGAAATGATGGTTCCATATGTAGCACACATTATCTTCTATCACTTGTAACTGTTATTCTATAAAGTTACTTTACAAAATAGCATAAAATGTCATGATTACCTGATCAATAATGTCAAAGGCGACGGATACAGGCAGGAACATTTGAACTGAAATTGTTCTCCAACGTCATAGTAATGCCGTTATTAAGGTTAAACTGTACAAAATGCAGATTGCAGGCTTTCATGAAGCCTGATATGAAGCACTTGGTGTTTGGAAATACTGTTCTACATTATCGTAGATGTAAGGCCAGTTTGATTAGTAGTTTTTTAATTACCATCGAAGACGTCAGTAGTTGTAATTTACATGCTTCACCAATCATGATACTTTCATTTATATCATATGTGTATATGACATAACAAAGCTAATTCGTTTTCCAATCCTGTATGTTTTTATAGTCGGGCGCCATTGGGATCATGGCAATGGGATGGATGGCAAGCTTCAACATTCTCACGTTGATAAACTGCTCCCAGACGATGTGTAAACGGTACTGTAAATACAGACACCCCAGAATGATATCTTTCGCTAAGCCATGTGCGAACCAGATCTTCTACCATAGGTCCGGTTGTTTACATACAGAGCTTTTATGTAGATCTAACACGTTAACACAATAATATATGTATAGTTATATTTTATTGTGAAATTCTTGTGTCACGGCTAGAATAAAATATCAACGTCACAGAAATATGACGTTGACAACATCGTAACCCGTTGTCTACGGACGAATTAAGTGGCAGTGTATTCACATGAAAAAGGAGTGGTATGCTTCTTTGTTACGTAAATCATGTTATGTATTGAAGTACCGTCGTAGCTGAATTTATGGATGATTAAGGTACATGGTATAAAGTGATATGTAATTGTCACAAAATAAGTCGATAGCTTTTCTCATAAAAACAACAACATATTCGTCAACTAAATTCTAGATTGTGTATGTTGTTTTCAGTGTGGGAACAATTAAACAATGTGTAAGGTACATAAAGTTCATAATGAATCTTTTAGTATTATTAGCAATTAACGTGTTATTTGTTAAAGCAAATATCAGTTTATTTAAACATATTTTTTCCATCTCGGAGCTTGCTTTATGCCAATTTTACCTGTGTGTATATCATGTTTATATATTCAGATCAAGCATTCTGACCTATTTGTTAACAAGTGTGTATATGCCATTCTGGTACGTTACATGGTAATCGATAGGAAATTTTTAAAAGCGTAAAATATATAAATGGTACCTCTACTGTATAAATGTTCAGCTGCTAATTCCGACGAGACCAGAATAAACGCATAAAGACGACGTTAAGATTGCTCGTTCAGTGCAGCAGTGTTATACTTCTTGAAGAATTTAGCTACTTTGACTATAGAGACCTGAAAACTACACAGACATTCACAGAGTTAAGATTTATATACTTAAACAATATCAGAACAACTCTTGTTAATATTTCGGAAAGTCATAAATCATACAATATGTCTTTATAATTTGTATTTAACACAACTGCAAAGTATGTATATTTGTCATAAAAGCATGCCGTCCGGTACCTTATAATAAGCAAGATGGACGTTACTTGAAACAACTGTTGACTTTCGCCCTTGAAGAAGGCCAGGAGGCCGATATATTGGGACTTCGAGTGACATTTGTTCTATTTTTTATATCCTTGTTTTCTTTCGGAAATAATCTGTTCCTAATATTTAATATTGAAAGTAACATTCCGCATGACCTAAGGGGTTTCCTTGACTACTGCAAGTGTGGTATTAAATAAAAATTCAAAATTCAACATGCTGTCATCTCCGAGAGATCAATGATTAATATAAATGTAGGACTAAATATATGTGAAAGGAATTATACAAAATGCAGTGAATACAGAATATTTTGAAACAATGGATTATTTTTCATGTGTCCCATATTTGAGATTTTGAAACATTCTTATATTTGATTTTGTTTTCTTCAGATATAATTTACCAGCTCTTGACTATGTTGATCTGTTTGAATACGCGATGTCTATCGGCCCTCAGTGCTCACGAAACTTCGCTAAAACGGCAAAGTATGTATTGATTGGTTTGGATTTCAAACGTTAATGACATGAATTTTATATGCATATAAATATTTCATTTTATAAACATTGATATATATGTACATTTATCGATAGCTAGTCGTATCTCCTTATATGTGAATATGACTTGTGACTTAATAATACGTGGCCTCCTCTCCGATTTTATTCCATTCTCTCTCTGTGGGGATTTCTGATGGACTAGTTTTATAATGTTACTTGTTTATGTTACTTAGGTTACAGAATTGATACCTGACTTATTCCCTATAAAGACACTGTTGTTGACGGTTCCCTGACTGATGTTTGATATCATACACAGGCAAAAAGCTTACGTTCCTGAATTTGAGACCAGGAAAGCGTTCTTTTTTAAACGACACCATCTGCTCCTCGAATGAATGCTACACCATTAATGAAGACACCGCCTTAACAGTTCAGTGAATCATTTGTTTGATCTTTTAGTAGATTATTTTACAATTCAGATTTAATTCTTTTATATGTTTTCCAAGAACAGTACTGTACATTTGTAAGTATTTTGATCTGAACTGTAATAGCTTAATGAAGCTTTGCTATCAGCACACGTGACAATCCAAGCGAGATTTGTGTGTTTCTTTGTAATGTTGAATTTATTAAAGGATGGTGCACATGTTCGTCGCTTTGCAGGACAGTTATAGCTGTAGTGCTGACCGTAGCCAATGTGGGTTACTGTATTGTCTACATATCAACTGCGGCCGCTTACATGCAACAGGTGACTATAACTAGTATACGTATATATTGAAAATACTGCATAACATCAAAATACTGTTGTTTACTGAAAAGAGTCTAACTAAAACGTTTGAAATCACTCATATTAGAATGTTGACACAATGAATGGAATGCCATTGTAAATAGATTAAAGATAAAAACGAATAATCTCTAGCATTGTTTGTGAATCAAATGAAATAATTAACAGAACATGCAATGTTGGTGTTTCATGCTTGGGATTCTTTTTGTGTAATACCTGTTTTCGACTCCAGTTTTGACGAGTTGCATATTGTTTTGTGTAGGTGTCTCCTCCGATGTCTTTCCTTTATTTTTGGTGTCTTTTCTGTTACAGTCGTTGTCTTTCCTTGTTGGTTTGGTGTCTCCTCCATACCTGTTGTTGTTTTTCATATTGTATTGTTTTCTCCTTCGTACCTGTCGCTGTCTTTCTTTTGTTTTGTTGTCTCCTCCGTTCCTGTTTTTGTCTTTGCTGTTGTTTTGGTCTCGACTGCGCTTCTGTTTTTGTCTTTCCTTTTGTTTTGCGACTTCCGGCGCTTCTGTCGTTGTCTTTCCTTTTTTGTTGCGACTTCCTTTGCTCCTGTCGTTTTCTTTGTTGTCTCTTCCGTGTATGTTTTTGTCTTTCCTGTCGTCTTGGGTTCTTCTCAGTTGCTGTTTTGCTACAATAACTTTGAGATCAGATTTGCTTCGAGATGAGATGTGAATCAGTTTTATTATATATTTTACTATCCTTACAGCTTGTGCCTTTATACATTGATAACCAACTGTTCCTGCGCCCCTATATTGTTGTGTTCTGCGTGATGGCAATACCGATCTGCATGACAACGACCTTGACCGTTCTAGCACCATTCTCTACGCTAGGCAACATCGTTTCCTGCATCAACATCGTAATTGTGTTTCAATATATGTGTAAAGACTTACCGAACGTTGATACCAGACCATGGTTTACGGGAGTGTATGATGATCGAGGTTTAGTGTTGATCGCCATCTCGAATATCATGTTTTCTTATGAAGGTATAGGATCGGTAAGTATAATTAGTCAATACAATATTAGTCCACAATATGAATACTGTGATAGCCATATACGTAATAGCTATAAAGTTCATAAACAGTCAAGTTACGCGATATATTGAGAAATACCTGCTTTCGACTTCAGTTTTTACGAGTAGCATATTGTCTTTCCTCTTGTGTCTCCTCCGTTTCCGTTGATGTGTTTCGTTTTCTTTGAGGATTGAATCCTGATCTGTTGAGGTTTATGAGGTATAAAAAGCAATGGGTCTTGAGATGGATTTTATGAACTACAAATCAGATCATATCAAATGTATCTCAATACCCGCCGGCGCAAGGATTTTCTGCCCTCGTAGAACCAGATATGTAAGGTGTAATTGTGTTTGCTAGGTGTATTGTTCTCTTAATGCGTATACTTAAGCAGTTAAACTCTGCATTTGCAAGGTTTAATAACCCCTTATACGGTATATGCAACTGTTAAGTTTTGAGTTTTCAAACCGAACTAAATGTAATGTTTAGACAGCTTCTAATGTATTTACTAACTCCTAATGTTTATCGATTCTGATATACTCATTTTAGAGACTAAATCAATTGCAATTTACCATTACTCCTTTAATGCTACGCACCTAATAAGAATGACAATTTGGATTACAAATTTTGTAAACCCTGCCGATGAGTCCTAGAAGGACGAACCAGCTGTATGACACAGTGTAATTCTTTTTTTTTTGCATAATGTATTTATTACAAAATTGTATAAGCGCAATCAAGTGTGTTTGTGCTATGTTCATATGTCAAAAATTGAGGTAGTAGACTCTGCTGGTGCATATTTAGCCCTCAAGAGTTGCTGAAACCTTGATGCCTGCATATATCTCTTTTGAGTTATGGCACTAGACAAACTTTAAAGATTATTTAATTTGAAATTTACCAGTTATCCTCTAAATTTTTAAATAAATTCATAAATGGTTTTACGCACCTGTCCATCTGCTTCAACAGTAGGTTAAACAATTTGTATTTCCAATACGTTTTTGGCCTCTAGCATCGACGACGAGTCCCAGAAAGACGAGTCAGCTGTATGAAGCAAAATGTAAAGGAGCAGTCACCTGTGTGTGTGTGTGTGTGTTATGTTCATTATATTTACATTTGCTCTGCATTTCCACTATATAACACTACTAAAACCAGTTCCGTGTTATGAGACCATAGCACAGGCGTAGTGATATCTCCACGCGTCCGACTTACTACCGGGTCGCTATTCCCCTCCGCACTAGCAAGAATATAAGCCAAAACGACTCCACTATGATTCAATATTATTAAGCGTTTTATGTAAGACTATTATAAAATGTGAATTAAATATATTGATTGATTAAATTATGGAAATTGTATCGATGTTTTTGTGTATATTTCCACGAACTTTATGGGGAAAGTCACGAGACAACATTCCTGGAGCAATTCCATGGGCTGTTCTACCTCTTAAAAGTGCGTATGTGAAAATCAAAATGTAAAGATATGCATAAAACAGCATTCTGTTCCGTGTTATGGTCCTATAACATGGAACAGGACCATACCACGGCATGGAATGTTATTTAATGCTTAAATATGTCGCATATCATAATGGGTTTTCTATGCTATCTTTTCATTTAAATTCTTAATATGTTTATAGTGAACACATATAGTAGTTTCTAAACATCTAGGGTGTCTCTACTTGCTACATTGTATGTTAACAAATATTATGTATCTATCAGGTTTTTTTAGCTAATGATATGTATCTACTTGTTTTTGATTGATAATCTATATATAATAGATTTTTAATATAATAGCTTTTTAATGTTAATACTTTGTATCTACTAGTTTTTAAAAAGAATATTATGTTCAATGTATCCGTTACATGTTTTAATACTAAGAATGTGCATCTACTGGCGTTTTTAGTTGATAATGTAATTCCACTAGCTTTTAGACTTATCTGATCAAGTGTATGTACAGATATACATGTGTGTATATATATTAACATTTTAGATTGCTACTTACATGTATGTATACATTAACTCTGTAATATGTTAATATGTACATATAAGACCTTTAAGTTATAAAACTGCATAAAGTTGTCTTTTAAATCCATGGATGTCTACATGCTTGCATTCTAAACTCTTACGTGTATTTATGCTTACAAGCCTAATCAATACTTATATGTATCTACATGAACAAATATTTTAAAGTATTATCGAATATCTTATCGCCTTTTAACTAATTATTTATATCAACTACTTTTTTAAACCATTTGCTGTATTAGCATAATACTTAAATTGTAAATAGTCGTCTGCTATCTCTTTAAACTTCTAGTATGTGTCTATTAGCCACATAAGCCCTTAACATGTGTCTGATATAGGTTTTTTTAACGCCTTATTGTGTTTATACTACCACTTGTATCTCTCGATTATGGCTTTTTTTAACATTTCAAACTCCCAAGTGTGTCTTCTAGATCTTTTGGTAAATTAAGTTACATCAACTGGCGTCATAAACTATTGCCTTTTAATATTACGTGTACATATAGGATCTTACATGAGTTTCCATTTCACATGAGATTTTTTTGGCGAGCTAAAAATGAAACATTTATGACAAGTTTCATAAATTTGATATGAAATGAAAAGGAATGTAAGATCCTTTTTATCACATAAACACAATTTGTGGCATTCATTTGTGTAAAATGACAATATGTATGCAACCTTGAAATGTAAAAATAACACCATTTTGACTCCAATGCGTCAGTCTGTGACGTCATGTACTTGTCCTAGGCGCGACGTCACAATTAAAACAATTGAAACTTACAACCAATCACAGGGTTGGAAGGTCAAATTACATGAGTTAGTACGCAAAAAATATGGCATGGGTACATTCCCTGAATAACACAGTACATTATGTGATAATACTGTGTATCTATTTACCTTTTAAACACATATGATTTCTATTTTTACCAGGTTCTACCAATCGAGAACAGGATTGTGAACAAACATCAGTATGGCGGGTGGAACGGACTCGCGGGGCTTGGGATGACGATTGTCGTATGTCTTTACACAGCATGCGGTTTCTTCGGCTTCCTTAAGTTTGGTGAAGCGACGGAACCATCCCTGCTCTTGAATTTACCTTCAGACCAAGCGTAGGTGTTTTATATAGAATTGTTCACTTAATTCAGTATAAAAACAATTCAAAACCTACATTGTGCATGCATGTACATCCATTCCTGAATGAAATATTGGATATGTTATGTAACGAAATTGTCTCTAAATGATAAACTAATATGTATATCAATGTACACAAATGAGAAAGTATGGATCAGTAGATGAACCAGTTAAGGCAAGTGATATGGTGACATTCATTTAAACACTTAATAATTAATAAAAAAGCTACTTTAAAGTTCCTTAAATAATTAAATACATTCGTAATACTAGTAGCGAACATAAATGACTACTTGTAATCAATTACTGTGTACCATGGCCAAAACTGTATCATATTTTCTTTTCAGGTTGTATAAGTGCATCAAGGTGCTGAATGTATTTGTTCTTTATTCCTCGGTCGGGTTCCAAATATTTGTGCCCTCAAAAGTCATCTGGCAAGGCATCGAAAGGAGGGTTACATCCGGAACCTTGGTTAAATACGGAGAATATATCGTTAGACTTCTCATTATGCTGTTTATGAGTAAGTATGCAATAGGAAAGACTAACATGTAATTTAGTGTATTATAGCTTTTTGAAAATGCTGACAAAAAAATATATATTACAATTTGTTTTAAATGAAGCAGGCTGTATTAATAAAGCAAATACTGGTTCCTACAATGATTCTCCACACCATTGCCTTGAGTTCGTGTTCACTGTTAACAGAACGTGGAATGGTTTTTCTATTTTATTTTATAGCATTCTTGACATTCCTAGATATGCGATCTATTTCATTACTCTATTAAAAAATAAAACTTCAGTTGAAGGGTACCACCGTGGTCATAATTACGAAGCGGATTGTTATCGTAGACATTTTTTATCATTATATTTTTTTTATTCAATTTGGAGTGCACGTAGGTTCCTTTGGTAACACAAATATGTTTTAGCTCCTCCGTAGCGAGATATTCTACTACTGCTGTATAGCAACATGATCAATATTGATAAGCCCTGCGTTCGAACACTTACATTTGTGTCCTTTCTTTCATTTTTAGCTCACCGGGTCCGAAGGACCAAGGTGAGCTTTTGCCATACCGTGGCGTCCGTCGTCTGTCGTCCGTCCGTCAACAATTTCTTTAAACGACTTCTCCTTCTTAACCACTGATTGGAATTTAACTAAATTTGACTGGAAGCATCCCGAGGTGGTGGGGATTCAAAATTGTACAGATGGTGGGGCTAACCCCCAGGGGGCTGAGGAGCGGGGCAAAAAGGGGGCAATTTGGCTATATTGCTTTAAGCAACTTCTTCTCTGGAACTAAGAGATGGATATCAACCATATTAGACTGGAAGCATCCCTAGGTGGTGGAGATTCAAAATTGTACAAATGGTTGGGTTGACCCCCCAGGGGGCTGAGGGGCGCGGCCAAAAAAGGGGTAATTTGGCTATATTTCTACAAACGACTTCTACTGTAGTACTATGCACTGGATATCAATCATATTTATTCTGAAGCATTCATAGGTGGTGGGGATTCAAAACTGTGCAAATGGTGGGGCTGACCCCCCCCCCCCCCAGGGGGCTGAGGGACGGGGCCAAAAAGGGTTAATTGGTTATATTGCTTTAAGAAACTTCTTCTCTGGAACTAATTGGTGTATATCAACCATATTAGACTGCAAACATCCCTACGTGGTGGGGATTCAGAATTGTACAAATGGTGGGGCTGACCCCCCAGGGGGGTGAGGGCGGGGCCAAAAGGGGGCAATTTGGCTATATTGCTATACACGACTTCTTCTGTAGAACAATGCCATGGATATCGATCGTATTTGGTCGGAAGCATTCATGGGAGGCAGGGATTCAAAATTGAACAAATGGTGGGGCTGATCCCCCGTGCTAAGGGGTGGGGCCAAAAAAAGTGTATTGCTTGGAAATGGTTGAGATCCCCACCATATAACCACATATACAATTACTGAGTATAAAGAGAAGAATGCACATTTTCTTCCAGGATGGCTATAGGGTCTGGCCCCACCCTTGGAAACATAGTCCTTGGGCCATGACTGTAAAACTGTTGAGATCCCCACCACAAAACTATATATACAAAAGCTGGGCATAAAGAGACGAATGCAGTCACGATGTTAGAATAGACCCTGGGGTCTGACCGAACCCCTAGGGACCTAGTTTCTTAGTCACAGCTTGGAAACAGTTGAGATCCCCACCCTATAACCATATAGACATTTGCTGAGTATAAAGAGATGAAAGCACATATGCTTCCAGGATGGCCTTGGAGACTGCCCCACCCTTGGAGAGTTAACCCCTGAGTCATAACTTCGAAATGGTTAAGATCCCCACCCAAAAACTATATATACAATTGTTGGGCATAAAGAGACGAATGCAGTCATGATATTAGAATTGACCCCAGGGTTTGCCCCACCCTTGCAGACTTAACCCCTGGGTCATAACTTTAAAACGGTTGAGATCCCCACCCCAAAACTATATATACAAATGCTGGGCAAAAAGAGACAAATTCAGTCATGATATTAGAACTGATACTGGGGTCTGGCCACCACCGTAGGGACCTAGTTTCTGAGTCACAGCTTGGAAACAGTTGAGATCTCCACCCCATAACCATACATAAAATTGCTGGGCATGAAAAATCGAATACAGATATATGTGCTACAAGGATTGGCCTTGGGGTCTGACATAATCCCTTGGATCTCATTTGGAGAATATTTTGCCATGATTGCTTGGATATCGAGGTGAGCGATACAGGCCATCTGGGCCTCTTGTTATTTGTTTCCATATACTGAAATGTCGAACACGTTTTATTCTGGGAGGGGAGAGGTGGGGTGGGTGGGGGTGTATTGTAAGTTATGTCTGATTTAAGTGCAGGTAAGATAAGGATGTCATTGACAATACTCTTTATCTTATTGTGCTCTTATTTCATTATCATTTTAAGGGCAGCGATAGCTCTAATTACACGTTAAACTTTCAGTCATTTAAAAGTTTGCAAAGAGGGGTTGCTATACGTCGTTGTCAACTACGTAATTAATTGCGGATTTATATACACGTATGGAATGCTTTTGTTTTTAAAGTTTGAACAAACTGCCAACAAAAGGATTGATGAAGTTCAGGAATGCTTGAGGGGGTCGCCAGCAATAACACTGTCGTTGGCTATCATTTTTAGCAGTATTTAAAACAATACTTTTCATCAATTTACATCTTTGACGTTGACTTTTAATTAGGAGGTCAATAAAATAAATACTACATTATGCCAGGTATAAGATTTAAGATACAGTCTTGTGTGTTTCAGCACTGTTCACGATGGCTGTCCCCAATATGGATCTATTACTTCCACTGGTAGGCGCAATGTGTGGCAGTTCGTTAGCGTTTGTCTTTCCACCACTCATGATGACTTTTATTCTTTGGGTCCCAGAGGAGAAAGATGAAGAATCAAAATGGAAGCGAATCAAGCATAAATTTAAACTTCTACTCTATATATCATTGTTTCTATTAGGTATTAATTTTACATTATTCGGCACAGTCGATGCGGTTCTAAGGATAATTAATCGATACGCGTAATGTGTGTTGTATTTTATCCAATTTATTAATATACAGTTTTACTTGTTATGTATACAGGAAATATACGTCACACTTAATTCATTGTATCTACATATGTCTTATCTTAGATGCATTTTAAGTATTCAATACAGACAACAAAAATAAATACATACTGGTTGAAAATTATCCAACACTAGAACAGCTTACTTGTAAAAATGATCAAAGTAAAACAATATTTTATGTTCTCATAGTTTGGATGTTAATGGCTTGGACAAAGTGTCATCGATATTTCCCCCTTAATATCATTTGCAACATGTGCAAGAAACATTCTTGTGCGTGATTAGAACAATACATCTGAAGCGCCGACCAGAGTTAGAATTTCAATGCATTTGTTACAAAGAGGTAGCTTGATAAAGCTAATAAAACAATTTCCGAAACACCTTCTCGAAGGCTTCGGGTTTATGTCATAGACTACATTTTGTAGGTGTAGGCATGTACCTATTCTTTACTTCTAGAAATGTGTTTTGTATAATTTGATGATGTATGCCATTTTTATTAGAATGTCCGTTATAACTTTACTGTAACTGATGGTCAGGATTTTTATGTGAAGCATATTATTTTCGACATTGCTGGAGAACTCATTTTTATTTCATCGGAGACTGTATGATCCGGAATCAAGGTATAACTATATGTAGTATTATTAAACTGGCAGATAACGTAAAATATAATCTTCACTTATATGTTGTTAAACTTTCCTTATGCTGCTGTTAGTCATGCGAAAAAGTGTTACGTTTTTATCTATCCTGTTATGATGAACCATTGTCACTTCTCATTGAAACTACATGTCAAAACTCTAAATGTCAACGATGCCTTTCTGGAAATAAACAGTGACTATATCCTTTGTTGTTAATTTCTATAATATTGCCCGCAAACCAGAAAAAGTAATGTTTAGGATACATAATCTACTGATTACTCACGAGTTATTATCTACATACAAAAAAACATCTTATACGCAAAGAATAGCAGGTTCTCTTCCAACGTCAGATACATGTAGCTCTCATCTGTTCTTATCTGGACATGTAACTACATGTATATTAGTTATCGATTCTTGCGATCGGATTCAATTGTGAGTTTTTATACTTCATTGATCTACTTAGTGTCATTAAATACTCTGTTGTAAACAGCCATGGCGACTCCTAATAATCCCCATAGACGATATAATAGAGTGCCGGTAATACGAATGTTCCATGCAAACATCTAATGATACAAGTTGCTGATTATAATTTCGTTTTTGTTAATAACTTTAGATGCATCAAATTGAGGATTTTGGATAGCAAAGATATCGCCTAGCCCATACTTTATTTTTGGCTTTTTGTTGACTTTTCGTCACAATGCCCGCTTCATCAGATAGTACGCATAGGGCAATTTTTCAAGGTAAAGATCTAAATCCCGCGGGTAATACGCAAGAAATTATGGTATTATCAACTCACGATTAAATACACACCAGTCAGTAGGAATTTTTACTATTTTATCTTAAGCTTAAACGACACAATCCCGCGTGTATATTCCATTTTAGTCAGGATCAATCTATACTGCCATGGATTTGTATAATGCCACCTTACATTGTTACAGTATGACAACAGTTAGTTGACAGATTATAAAATCCATAAAGCACGAAATGTATGGGCGTGTAGGCGTAATATCATAACAATGTCCTTGATCAGATCATTTTGAATTAATATTACACATTTGTTAGTATATGCAATTTGAAATACGTATATCCAGATAAGAGAATGCTTCGATTTCCCCAACCAATTAAAAAAAGAGGCCCAATGGGCCTGCATCGCTCACCTGGTATTAATCTCACACTTGTGATGTTAAAAGTGGACTAAAATACAGCTACAGGCAGAATATCAGTGTTTGATTCATAAGAACCTATTAAAATATTTAAACATATGACGCCTGTGACCTTGAATGTCGCACAAGGACATTAGGTTGAACAGAGTTTATAGTCTTCCAACCCAGCATGCTTCTGGCAGAATATCATTACCCTGGACCTTTTGGTTATACAGAACAAATCATTTAAAGATTTAAACATATATTGACCACTGTGACCTTGAATATGGGTGAAGGTCATTCACTTGGTAGTCCTTCATCCCAGCATGTTAATGGACAAATATCATCACTCTTGGCCTTTTGCTTATTAAGAAGAAGTCATTCAATGGTTTTAAACATATTTGACCCACGTGACCTTGAATATATATGTCATGGTCATTCATTTGAACAAACTTGGTAGTCCTTCATCCAAGCATGTTACTGGCATTATACTAGGCCTCTTGATTATTCAGAAGAAGTTGTTTAAAGGTTAAAAACATATTTGACCCCTGTGACCTTGAAAAAAGATGAAGGTCATTCATCCCAGCATGCTACTTGCCAAATATCATCACCATATGCCTATTGGTTATTCAGAAGAAGTTGTTTAAATGTTTTAAACATATTTGCCCTCTGTGACCTTGAATATAAGTCAAGGTCATTTATTTGAACAAACTTGGAAGCCCTTCATCCCAGCATGTTACTGGCAAATATCATCATCCTATGCCTCTTGGTTATTCAGAATTTGTATAAAGATTTTAACATATTTGACCCCTGTGACCTTGAAAATTGGTGAAGGTCATTTATTTGAACAAACTTGGTAACCCTTCATCCAAGCATGTTACTGGCCAAATATCATCACCCTAGGCCTCTCGTTATTCAGAAGTTGTTTAAAGGTTTTAAACATATTTGACCCCTGTGACCTTGAATATAAATCAAGGTCATTTATGTGAACAAACTTGGTAGCCCTTTAATACAGCATGTTACTGGCCAAATGACATCATCCTATGCCTCTTGGTTATTCAGAATTTGTATAAAGATTTTAACATATTCGACCCCTGTGACCTTGAAAATTGGTGAAGGTCATTTATTTGAACAAACTTGGTAGCCCTTCATCCAAGCATGTTACTGGCCCAATATCATCACCCTAGGCCTCTCGTTATTCAGAAGTTGTTTAAAGGTTTTAAACATATTTGACCCCTGTGACCTTGAATATAAATCAAGGTCATTTATTTGAGCAAACTTGGTAGCCCTTTAATACAGCATGTTACTGGCCAAATGACATCACCCTAGGCCTGTCAGTTATTCAGCAGAAGTTGTTTAAATGTTTTTATTATATTTGACCCCAGTGACCTTGAATATAAGTCAAAGTCATTTATTTGAACAAACTTGGTAGCCCTTCATCCCAGCATGTTACTGGCCAAATATCATCAGCTTAGGCCTCTTGGTTATTCAGAAGAAGTTGATTTTTTTTTTTTTACATATTTGACCCCTGTGACCTTGAAAATTGATGAAGGTCATTTATTTGAACAAATTTGTTAGCCCTTCATACAAGCATGCTTCTGGCCAAATATCATCACCCTAGGCCTTTTGGTTACTGAGAAGAAGTTGTTTAAAGTAAAAAGTTGACGCCGGACGGACGACCCACACCATGTCAAGCTCACTTGGCCCTTCGGGTCAGGTGAGCTAAAAACAATGTTATCATTGTCGATGAAATATAATGTATACTCTCTGATGTATTTTGCTATTGAAAAATAGTTGCTTAGGAAAATGCAAAACCTGTAAACACTCCGGGTAGCGCGTCTCCTGTTTTTACTTCGTTCTTGGGTCATTCTTGTCAGTATTTCTACCTTTATCCATGTTGTATCAGACTTGTTCATAATGATAACGTATGTAATTGTTTCAGCGTATTTAACAATTGGAGAGCGTAATATATCATTCTAAGAGTTTATACATATTTCAACTGGTACCTAGTTTGTCAAGTATACTCGGCGTTTATTGTGAAGCATTCCACAGGTTTTTTGGTTGTATACACATCATATAATTAAAATAACATAAAGATGTATGCATATGTTTATTACTGGCATTTGCGACATTTTCAGTGTCTGTTATTCTATAGACAACAAAAATAGCAAAGTTAACTGTGTGTGTTATTGTGTTTCAGGCATGGTAAAACGATAATATATTCACAGATTTTAGTGTAAGCTGGACTATTAACTAAAATTCAAACAGCAGACATATTTCACATTACATTCGTATTACCAATGACAGTGTCAAAACGTTTTCTCTCTCGAAAATATAACGTCTATCCCAATTCATAAACAAGACCGAGAAAAAACAAACAATAGCTCATGTTTAAGAGTGGGTTTATTTAAAAGCTTATTATCTTCAAGATAAATGAAGCTACTTTAACTGGCTAACAAAAAGGATGCCGTATTTACGGCATGGCAAGTAACGTTACTGGGGAAAACATTCAAACAGTGTGTATCACAACCCCACTTATATCGCCAGCTCCCATAGCTGACTACTACTCCGGATCCACGCCCTGTCAGTCCTCGCATTATCGAAGGTTAATTCTTTAAAGTATAATAAGTATATAGGTTCTGGAAGAAATTGTGTTCTTCTCTGCTTAATGTTTTGACACATCTACCGTAACAAATATCAAGACATTTAAGATGTTAGAATTAAAAGAAAAAAAGACAATATTCATTTACTTATTTTAACGATTCAGTAGTATATTTGACAACCTGAAACCTTGACTTCCTTACATCGGAGTGACATGCATTGCCTGTTTTACTTTACAAAACTTACTTCTTTTTTTCACCAAGAAATGATTTCGGAGGTAACTTACAAGTATTTTTTCAGTATTGAAGAAAAGAGAATGTACTAAAAATAAGAAACAAACAAGCAATCCTCATTTGAAACAATCTCTTTCATATCTGTTTTCCAATAAGCCTTGTTTAGAAAATGAAATGATACATGTAAAAAATAAAATATAAAGACAACACAATACGCAAATTTCCATTCTGACACACCATTACTAAAATTTCTCTTAATATTTTGTTTCAAGCGTTCTGTATCATCTACAAAAAATCCCCAGTTATTTTCGTAACCACAATCATAGAATTTTATAAAATAGGTCAAAACAATTCTGTGAAAGCAAAGCCTGAAAATGCATAGATTTCTACTAAGCAATTTTCCAGCCATAGAAGCAAAAGGATGGGCACCATTGCACTACGTTGATTTTTACCACTCCAAAAAACCAACACACAATAAGTCATTTAACAGTTTCAAACAGAATTCGCATTATACATAGATTCTAAAATATCAATACGATAAAAAACGTGGAGTGGTGATTTTAAATATCTGATTTATATATCATATTCAGTTTTTAATCAACCGTTTTGTTATTCAGAATAAGATATAACGAAACGATAAATTCAATCTTTCCTTCTCACAGATATTATGAACCAATACACCCTATCTTTCTTTTAACCATCTTACTACAGATGAGGTATTAAGAAACATAGACCAAAGTCCTTGATCACCAGAATAAGATATTATGAAACAATACACCCAACCTTTAATTACAAACAGTTTTACTATACGAAATTAGATAAATACATAAACCGATACATCCAGACTTTTATTAAAGGAGGAAAGAAAATATGAAACAATATCGCCAGTCTTTATCAATAGCTGTACTGTATAGTATTATAATATGAAACAACACATCAGCTGTTTTATGAACGATTGTATTGTATGCATTACATAGTTCGGGAATACAAGAAAATAATAGGTAGGTTCATCCTTGGTTGTCGTGTCACAATTCAAACTAGAAATACAAGTGTATTCATTAATCTAGACGCCAAAGTTGTCCACATCGTTTTTGATTAATTATTTAGTACAGAGCTGTATCGTTATACAGGAAATATGAATGGCTAAAAACAATTGTCAAAAAACAAGTATTCTTCACAATGTACTGCAGACTTGATAAACCAACTAATCCTGCCTCACCCATA